GGAGAAGTACATGTAAACAGCTATTTTCATATAAACATTGAATTACACGAAAGAAAAATACTTTCGAAACAAATACTTTTATATGAACGCTGAATTATACGAACAACACTTTTCTCTATTTCGCTTGTATTCCAAACCTCAGAGTACTTGTGCATCTTCATATAAGAATCGAAAAGTCAGATTCAGAGACAAGAATATTTGAAAAATTAAAAAATCAATGTTAAACGTACAGAATTTCAATGCATATTCAAAAATAAGTTTGTTTTGTTAAAGATCGGTTTTGAATATTATGTGAATTTCAGTATTTAGTTCAATAATGTGGTTTTTCCTGAAATAAATTTTCAGTCACTTATCGAGTATATGGTTTATTTATTCACTTTGGAATTTCAGTTCATTGGTGTGAGAATAAACATAATTATTTTTATTATTTGAGAATCAAACTACACATCAAAATATCAAAGTTGAATGTGATTCCGGGTACTCGAAAATTATTACAATGAATCGGTTCTACTTGGGAAAGATTATTTCAAGTGAACTCATGTAAAGATTATTACTTGTTATGCACGTGACCTGATGTGACACTAACAACTTGTCAAGTGCGGTGGGGTAAATGCTTCTAAAAATATCATATAACCAGACACACTATTCTCAACACTCTGGAATTATTTTTTATTTATAACTGAGAATTTTGAGTGATTCAGAGATTCTTTTTTTGTTATGGTCCATTTTTTCTCATCCATACAGAGTGATTCGCATAGTTATATTTATATTTTACATAGTTTGGGGTTCACTGACTAGTGATGCTAGCTCTCTCGTGATAGTATTTTGTATTCTGCAGAGATGATCCATTGAATAAAAAACTGTCTAAGTTTATTATATTAATAGGTAATGTACCTTCGGGTTTGTCAGATCCAAATTTGTTATTTCTTGACCTGAATCAAAATCGTTAATCTTTTTAAAAATGTCGAGGAGATTGAGGTCGTTTGGACGAGAAAGTTAGATTAGAAACATGACATTGAAATTTCATCTTGAAGTCAATCAAAATGCCACCAATACGAGTATGATATTTATGAAAATTCGAATTGAGCTGAAAATCATCTTCATCACTGAAGATTTGGTATAAGTGGATTCATGAAAGAGCAATGGATTTTGTAATTCGTGCATTTATATTTACAGGGTTGATTAAACAGTCTAACACCAAGTTTTGAAATGTGATGACATTGATAAAACGACACAGATACATTGATTTCATTTCAACAAATATAAAGAAAGAGAACCTGTAGGTTGACAATAGAATAGACAAAAACTTAAAAAAAAAACATTTCTGTCTTTTGAAATTCATATTGACATCAGAGAAAGGTGTGGTTCAGAATGTAAAAAGGTCTAACTGTGTATAGCTCAGAAATTCGAAAGCTGATGCATTGATTACCGTTTTATTGATTGAAGAAAGGATTGCTTGAAGGATGTGCTTAGTTTGTTCCTTCAGAAAAAATATATCGTGTTCTCTCTGACAAAAAATATGTAGCTCCTCGAAGCAACTAGTCGAATTCAACAAATAGAAATACTGTAGATATTTTCAAACGAGATTCATTTGGTGATCATGATCATAAATTTAATCTTTCTTTTCGAATATATGGCGACATATAGTTTGAATATTTTGTAGGAATTGAACGAAAATAAAACTATTTTAATCGAGATTGGAATATATTAGTTAGTTGTTAACAGCAGATATTTTTGGGAAAGGAAGATTGGCTTTCTACTTTTAAATCTTCATGAAGATTGGTAGATAGATTATTCATAGAAATTACTTTTAGATACAAACTGGAAGGAAAAGCTTTCTCGAGCCAACTTAACATTGAATCCTACAAAAATCATCACTTTTTTCTATGTAGTTTATACTAGATAGAATCATTCGTCATGGAATTGAATTAGATATCATACACAAGTACGCTACACAATATAGGTACACTAAAAACATCTTTTCTGAAAAAATACCACTTTCAATTCAAACAGCAGATATATTCCATTGCCATAGCAATTCTGTCACAGGGAATTTTTAGTTATTGTTATATGTATTTTCTTTCTTGATTGGGTTTTTAGGCAAGTCCATTACTTGCCAGTAGTTTGGGCAAATGTATGTAAATGTATGTAAAGTATATAAAAAGCATTTTTAAATACAATCTTGTATTTGTTCGATAGAATTTCTTAATTTGAAAGTAGTTTCGACCGACAAAATTTAACTTCCAATTTGTGATCAATGAATTGTTCAAAACTGAAGAAATTTTCGAAATGAACTACTCATTATTATGAATTTGTATCCAAGCGATTGACCTCATTTAGATCCAATCGACTCGCATTATGCCAAACTCAGTTCAGATTTTCAGTTTTCAGAAAAATAATTTGTTTCAATAAAAGTAATGAATAGTAATACAAAAACCAATGTACAAATGTGAGTAATTTCTTTTAAATTATGTGAATACTCGTATAGTTTACTGAAGGTGGAAAAATCAAATGATAAAGAACAGATGAGTGAGTGAAAACGATCAAGCGATACTTTAGGTTAGCACTTAAATTCCAGTTAACAACAATATAGTTTGCTTCACAATTTTATACCAAGAAACTTGATTAGAAGAAAAGCTCAAAATTATATTCTTGACTATATCCTTCGAAATACTTTTTTGTGAAGGAGTCAATATTTCGAGTTATTTTTCTGGGTTTTTTCAATTTGCCGCAATGTGTTAAATGAACAAGTTGATGACAAATTGGACTCTTCAGAGGTTTACGTTACACATTAATTTTTTGAGGTGAACTTTTCAGTTTACTCTTCATTATAATTAGTGGATTCTTTGTCGACTTCGTTTTGTTAATTTTTAAGATTCTGTATTCTATTGAAAGTGAGATGAGCACATTTCTGATGACAGAACTTCTAACAATCAAGTTTTTCCAGTGAATGGAGAAGTACATGTGAAATGATGAAGAAATGATCATTGAGACGAGACCTGTATTTTCTCTTTTGTATTATGAATGATCAAAACATCTGTCTGATATATAGTAGGTACTTGGAAATAAGAATCTCACTTTTGATATTATAATGAATTTTTAGAGTTTCTTCTAACCATCAGTTTCGTTATGGAACTCCAAGAATTATATCATATTCATTAGTTGTTAGATTTTTGGTTTTAATAAAGAACTGTTGTGTTTTCACGCTTGCTAATAAATTGTTATCACCAATAGCTGCTACCCCATGCTGGCTCGTGTAGCACGTGGAGCACCTCTACACTACCCTATAAAAATTGTGGGGCCTCCACTTACCATCTTGATGTCGCTTATGGTTGCTATGCTGCGCACAAACAGGTTTACCTGGACTATGGCAGGCCCATCTAGAGTGATGATTATTAAGTGTTACATTTACATATATGTACAACAAGCAAACAAGTTACAGTGGCATCTCTGGATAGTGGTATGTCGTCTGGTCTCCCTACACCAAAAGTAACACCGTAACACAAAAGCGGTCACTTACCTGTCCCATTTACTCCAGATGGTCGAATTCTTGCATCGTACCGACCCGGGCCCAGAATTTGGTCCAGTACTTCCTTCTCTTTCTCTCGAAAGTTGATTTTGACATTTGTACAACTGAAAGAAAATGTATGAAAACGCATGTAATTCTGGTCATTCTACAATAAATATACACTTTCTGCAACCGGGCTTGAAAATTAAAAAATCTTTCTAATAAGAATGTTTTGTACCAACAACAAACTGGCTTCTATTTAAGATTGTATCAATCATAATGTCAAAAATGGAAAATAGTCAAGAAAATTCTAATTCATTCAAGCAAATACATAAGTTGAAAGATGTTTCAACCTCAACTTCAATATTCTAAAACAAAAACACTCAGTATCCACAATTCCATCTTTTAATATTCCAAGTTCTTAGACATCCAAATTGATACGATTACAGGATATAGAAATATAAAACAATATCCAAATACGTAATGTTGCACGGATTCGTATTGAGCATTTTACCTTAGTACGTTAACCCGAGCAAAGTTGCAACCTCAGTATATGAATCTTCATAAATATTGAGGGAGGTCAAGATCACAAAGAGAAAGTTTTGAGTATTCAGTAATCATTGATCACTCTTCAGAAACGGTTGCAGATCATTTGTAGAATGCAGCACATCTCCTTTACTTCGATCCTGCTGGGTAGTTTCTTGTATATATTATTTTTCAACTATTTAATGGTAGTTCATTCCTGAGCCGATTTTTCTCGATTTTTTTCATAATGAATATTTTAATAAGTTTTTAAATAAGTTATTTTATCATTTGGATGAATGAGGGTTGGATGAAACAACGATAAATCCTCGCGTAATAAGCAAAGCGAGTACTGAGTTGCGACAATAACAAGAACTTTCTACATTATTGGTTTTTTCAGTTCCTTCTTCAAAATTAAAAATTCTCTCTGGTTCAATTTTAGTAAATTTTAGAAACTTGGACACTTTTTGCAATTTTATGCGTATGTGCTCAATTGTTTGAATTGTATGTTTTGAATCGTTTAAACACCCCTCAAAAATCAATTCACGTTTCAAATAGATCCACCTACAATAAGTTTCAGTAGGTGTTATCGCTTTAGTGTATTGTTGCCAACCTCTTTCACCTACAAATTCTGACTTGTACACTATCGAAGTTGAGATGAGGCCGAACTTGTCTTTTCCGATGTGACTTTTTGACTTTTTGGCCATGCTCCATGTATTCACGTGAGTCAATATTTCTCAGTCAGACTGATACATTGTTCCCTAAGGATATGCATGTGGGTTGAATGGAAATATTATCTATAACAAACTCAATACAAGATTATCAAAATTTCAACAAATACTTATACTAATTCCATTTCCGTGCTTGCACATGATTGTAGCAGACCACAAAGTTATGTGCGACTCTCAACTGAATCTCCTTCAGTGTCTATGTAAATAGTGAATATAATTTGTTAGACTCGTTCAACAAAAAAACTTATTCAATGTTAAGAATTATTTACATGAAAACTAAAAAACCGCGGGTGAATTCCATACACGCCATTTTGAAAGGCTATATCTCAATATTCGAAGAATTCACAACAAATTACTACACTGAAGATTCACTTTCTCTATTTCTCAGAATGTGACACTCAAGTAACTGAACTGAAGTTTTGAACTGTCAAGGCCGGAAGTAAAATTCGAACTTTAGTTATCTGGGTTGTGTAGTCGTAGTCCAATAGAGAACGTTTCGCTTATAACTACAATGGAAATGAAGAAATAAAACTTCCTATGTTGTTATACCACTTATATTTGTAATTAACGGTCGTTCTTTAAGGACGAAACTGCAGTAACGTCAGTTACAAGTACAAGTGGTATACAAACATAGGAAGCTTCATTTCCCAATTTTCATAATGATCTGCTACCATGTAGTAATGGCTACACTCATCAATTTAACTACCATGGACATCTTCAGCAGTGGTTGGCAGCAATGCGTTCCTACCTTCCGGTTGGTAGATCCATTAACGAGTCTACCAAGGCTACCCATCCTGGATAACCAAACTTCGAACTCATGTGAAAATTTTTTTGTGGCTCAGTTCAGGTCTAGAGCGAAATGGAACTGAAGTGACTTGTGAGAAGTATTTCAGGGAGACTCCTTTCCATCGCTGTAAAAAACTAACTGCACCAACTGGCCTCTCAGGTAACCTGTAGCCATCCAGACTGGAATGTGCAGCTCTGGAATCATGTGTAAATTTTCTGGAATATCCTCTACTGCAGCCAAAATGACCTACTGAAGAGATTTCAGTAAGTTGGTCAATATTGAGGTTGTCGAATGTTCAAGGAGCAATATTACCAACTCAATAACCGCAGTAACCTTCCCATATGAGAGCATCCGTTAATTAATTATACATGATGTTAGATCCAGCCATGCAAGGCTTTTTTGCCTGTGGTTAAGATGAATAATCGTTTGAGCTTAAACGTTTGGTGGCCTGCTCAGGGGAAATTTGTTTTCTCAATTCAGATCCTGCTTCTGCTGCTCAATAAATTAGAACAAGGCGGATTCATGAGATATCCTGCTCTTGAGGAGGCTCTAAATCGCTTCCTGGCTGCACCATCCAACGTCCAGAGTTTGTTTCCAAATCAAGAGCTGGAGATCTATAAAGCTCCTACTTTTCAGTCGACGATAAAGGGTCCTACGAGTACTTGAGTAGTTAAAAAGAGAAGGTCCATCACGACAGAGCCCCGCACTACGATGACAAGGCTTTCTACTACGAGAGGGCGCCCGGTGTTTCGAAGGTTACATTAGTGACACGAAGTGGGTCACACATTCTTTTGGAATGGATACACACCTTTGAATGAGGCAGTCATTTGGTACTTTCCTCTTCACACAAGGTATTCTAACGAAATCTGAAAAGGCCCAAGCCTAGAACAGGAACCTCGCAAACAAATGATACATAAAGTAACCACTTTTCGCGGAAACCTTTATTAAACGTTGATCAATTCAATTTGCTCTCCGCGAATACAATAAGTTAACGATAGGTCATTTTCACTAAGCACACTATCAAGGTTATGACCTTAGAAAGGTGGGTCTGGGTAATGAAAAAAAAAGTCTTACCAACTTTTTACTCAAACAAGGGTTCGAACAAAATGATACCCCACTGCTTGTATATGGTAATAGATATTTTGTTTAAAGCGGTTTCGGACTTTCTGAAGCATTTCTGGTGTGATGTTTTGCCGATCAGCAATAATGCGTTGACGTATATCATTCGCAGATGCTGGTTGAGTTTCATGACTCCTCAAAAAATTTAAGGGTCCTAATTCGGTTGTCGAAGGCCACCTCACTCGCGCCCTTTTAGAACCAATCCATTTAGTAGCAAAGATCTCATTAAAAAACTGACAAAAAACAGGTGTCCTATCACTGGGATAACAACTCTTACACATTATAGCAAATACTATTTTTTTCAAGGACAAATACAAGCATTATAGGAAAATCCTTGAGGCGCTCTAAGGGTGGTGCCTGAGCAAAAGTAGCGATTCACGATGAATTTGAATCGCTGGAGATTGAATTCATTTGAAGAAACGTTCTCAGGGAGTTTATTCCACATAAACGCAGTTCTCTGAGTGAAAGAGTTCTGACACAGTGAAGTTCGAGGTGTACTGAGTTGAACCTCAAAACAATGAGCAGCCACGGTCCGTCGCGTATTTCTGATTTGTACCGCTCGCGGTGGAGTCAAATGCGCCAAGTCACTTGAGCCCCTATGCTCATAAATGTCTAATAGACATTTATGAGCACTTTTACCGTCAACGGAGAATGGTGAAAACTATGTTTATTTTTCAGTTCCAAGCATCGAACTCCAAAACCTAAATTTTAAACAAATAATAGAAGCAGCAATTCTTGATGAGCATCTTACTTACTACATAATGTACATATTCTTCAAAGTGAAAAAACGTTACATTTTTTTTATCAGATTTTTTTTCGTTACCTACTTCATAAAATTTAAAAAAGTAGTTCAGTAGTTTAAGTAGAACAGAAATCTATGACTTCACCCCTAATTTTAGAAGTAAGGGTTGATTTGAAATAGAAGCGATTTTTTTTCCAAAATCCTTTTTTTCCTTTTTTTATTCTTCAACACTATATAACAGGACATCAATTTCTTGTGATTATAAAAACATTATAAGCACCTAATTTTTCATTATATAATTTTTCTTGGTCAAAATATTATTACTGTATTTTTGAAAAATTCAATATAAAAACCAAACTATGAATTTGGTTTGTGAAAGAGTACTGAATACAAATTGATATCACTCAGATGCAACCCTGTGAATATCCCTCTATATTATCTATTCAATGTGAATGAAGTTTTTAACATTCACAAGTTTTGTTCAATATTATCTTAGAGCTGATTACAAAGACGATCTTTTCAAAAATAATTTAGAATAACCGATTTATTATAATGTTCAGTTGAACAAAAGCAGGAGTGATTTGATTTATTCAAAACACTTCATTGTGAGATTTTCACTGAACTGTTTACAGAAACTATACAATAGCTTCTTTAGACGTATTCATACCATAAATTGTTTATGAAAATCTCACAATGAATTGTTACTTGAAGTTTATCATGATTTTCATCAACTATCGGCCAATTCCACCACATTCAATTTAATTTGTAAAATGTCGTCTACTTCATTTGGCATCATTTTCCTAATCTTAAATGAATGAAAATTGCTAACATAAATACATAGAATGAATTGAATAATACATCTTCGCATCAGTGTAATGATATTATACTTAATTCGCATCGTCACGATGTAGCAATCATTTCATTGACTAACTGAATAATTCTGTTGTGGCTCGAAGTTGTATTAATCTAGTTATTTTTGTCTGTCCGAGATAATAATGCCATTCAAACAAACCATCACAAAATCTAAGGTTAATTATAGTCTCACTGTCGTATGAAAATATTTTCCGTACGTTAGTTTTCACCTGCTTATGTCTATTTTTTAAAGTTTCGCCATAGGAAATTTTCAGCTGACAATATGTCAAGGCACTGGATTGACTTTTTCATAACTAACCGTTTACCAAAGTGTAGACTAACAGAACGAAAATAATTTTCTATTTCCACGGT